CTGGTCATGTCTGCTGTAGGCTCTGCTTTCTGAAGGCTCGCCCTCTCCTTAAGGGGCAGGATGGTCACCTGCAGTTCCAGGTGCACAAGTGCTTTGGGGTGTTCTGATCCTGGAGCATTTTCTTCAAGCTCTGACTGGTTGTGAAAAATACTACATGGCTATGAAGGAAATAAAAATGCTGACATGATAAATATACTTTACATGAGTGATTGAATTTAATCAACTTGTACCTTTAAATGTGAATCTATTCTGATAGAGCATTTGTAACTCTTTAAGTTATTTGTGGTCATTTCTATAAAAAGTTGGCATATTCCTTTTTCAGTCTCCCTATATTATGCTCTTATTTCTGTTGGACACTCAGTTGTAACTTAGAGTCCATCATTTCAGCTTTTATCACCTTTTTTTTAAGATATATTTATTTATTTATACAAGCACTGGGTACAGTCAGAAGCGCGGGAGGGTGAGAGAATTCACCAGAGCCAGAGCAGGGAACAGAACAGGCAGACCGACGAAATACACTGCTAAGGGGAGCAGTGGGCGTGGGAGGAGAGATCTGCGCGCCACGGGGGACCCTCGCTGGTGGCCCAGGATTGAACCAGCGCTCCAGAAGCTGCGGGCAGCTTCGCAGCCCAGTGCTCAACCGCTGCGCCACCAGGGGAGGCCCTTTTGTCATCTTTTCTAACAATGTAATCCGTCGTAATTATCAGACCTCCAATTGGTAATAATGAATGAAAGAAATTGTGAATGTAATAATTCAAAAACAAACTCTGGAATCAGACTGCCTGGGCTCAAATCTCAGTTCAACCTGGCTGGCTGTGTAACGTCTCCCTGCATAAATTTCCTCATTGTACAAAATGGGGATAGTAATAACATCTTCCTCTTAGTGCTAGAAAACCTGACACAGAGAAAGTGCTATACATTACTCAATTGCTGTTACTACAGTTATCATGCTGGTGCTTGTGTCTGTGTCTTCTGTCTACCAAATCTTCATTCCCAACACCACATATAGGAATACACTGCTGTCTTGACTGAATCACTGAGTCCAGAGTGCTTGGGAAGATTATTGTAGATATATTTTTGAGCGTAGACATATTTTTAAATGAAAGACTGATGATAAAAATTAAACCCAACCAGGAGATAAAGTGAATTGACAATATCCCTGCTTAAGAATATTTTCTACCCATCCCTTACATCTCACTTTTATTTTGCAGAAGATACTGATTTCTGCTTTTAAAGCTTACCACCAAAGGCATATGAGATGTGCTTCATTTTCTTTGTTTAGGAATTTCCTTGAAGATGTTGCTGATCTGTGCCAAAAGTCTGGGGACTTTCCACCATTTTTTTGTGAGTTTTCTGGTTGAACTGGGCTTAATTAGATCCTCTTTTCTTTTGTTTTTTTCTTTAAAAACTTGGAAACCATCATGTTCCTGGATTGTAAGACTGAACATGTTTGGTTAAGTAATTCTCTTGGGATCTAATCTGGCATCCACTCAGGTCTTGTTAAATGAGAACTTTAAAAGCCTCTTGCTGAGTGGCTCCGTCATTGTTGACCAAGTGTTTCAAGATGTAGGCACAAACTGTTTTTGACAGTTTTTCAAGTGTAATGTAATTTCAGAGTTATAGTATGCTTTTCTACTTGGAAAGATTAAAAAACATCAAGTGGCAAGTTTAACAAGATCATGGTCATCTTTTTTTTTTTTTTGCAAGTTTCTGTTACCCATTTCATTTGCTTGGAAGCAATGTTAAGCTTGACTTACGTGACTGCTTTGTCTGGAAGAGTGAACAAGATTTTTCTATTTACATAGAGCAACTAGGTAGTAGTTATCTCATTCCAGTGGAGATATAAAAAGAAGGTGCATTTTCTTCTGATTCTGGATTCTGGTGCTCCATCATATCTCCCTACCCCGCAACCAGCAAAAAATACTGTCTTTTATCTATTCAGTCCCCTACTCTTTGTGTTGCAAACCTGCCCTTGATGCATTCTAGCATACAAATCCAAAGAAATTGGCTGCAAAAATGCTTAGACTGCAGATATTGTGATATATAAGGAAAGTAGTTTCCTGTGATCAAAATTGAGATAATAAAAAAATAGAGACCTCAATTTGGAATAGCATAAGAATGAGGCCATTGGAATGAACAAGAGACCTTCAGGAATGGCCTGGGCAATCAGAACAGTCGTGGCCAGTCGTGTGACTATGCACAGATGTGGCGTTGTAGAAGAGTCTTGCTATTCCTGTATTGATTAGAAGTCATCTATTCACACTTGTAGTGAGTGTTGCAGATGCCCTCTATCCCTTCAGCTCTTTACAGAAACTATACTTCCTAGAATTTAAGGTTACTGAATAGGAAAAAAATTCTTTGCCTAAATTTCCTTTCTATTTTGGATATGAAAACCTTTAAGATGACCCAAATCACTATGCTTATTTTGTAGATTCAGAAACTGAGGCCAGAATGGTTAAGGGATCGGTACATAATCATGCATGCTTTAGTGGCCGAGCTACAGCTAAACCTGCGTCTCTGGCTTCCCAAATGATTATTCCTTTCACTATTCCATGCTGTCTTTGCTTATCTATTCAATTAGCAAATGTAATTGAAGGGACTCTAATTAGTTTGGCTCCTATAGACTTTTGTGGTTAGTGTCAGACTGGCAACAGGTTTTTTCCCCCTGGTTTTTGAGTCATGGCCAAATTTTGTCAGTCATTCATTGTAGTCTTGAAGTCATCCCATGGAAAGCAGGATGATTTAAATAGCTGGACACACATATCTATCTAATAATCATACCTTCTGTAGTGCATCTCAGTCTGTTATTATAATGTACCAATTGTATGTAGTCATTAAATATAGAGCAGTTGTGACCAGTACAGTGGTGATTTTCCAGCTATCACTATCATTTTTTTAAAAAGATTATTTATTTATACAAGCACTGGCTACAGTCAGAAGTGCAGGAGGGTGAGAGAATTCACCAGAGCCAGGGTGGGGAGCAGAGCAGGCAGAAGGACTGAAGTACACTGCTGAGGGGAGCAGCGGGTGGCAGGAGAGGTCTGCGCACCATGCGGGACCCTCCTCCGGTGGCCGGGGAGCAGCTGGGGATCGAACCTGCGTTGCAGAGGCTGCGGGCAGCTTCGCAACCCAGCGCTCAACTGCTGCGCCACCAGGGAGGCCCTATCACTATCATTGTGTGTTTTTTCCGCATCTGTGAGCTCTGACACCACTTTCTTATATAATTGAGGGGTTAGCAGTGCTCTGGCAACCCAAGCTTCCTAAGAAGCAGATGCTAGGGATGCAGGGGGCTGATGCCCCCCCCCCATGCACTTGGCAGTTGCCTGCTTTGGAGCTGCCAGCATGAGAAGCTTGGAGGTGTGAAGTACCCTTAGATCTGTGAGCTAATTGTTAGTGCTCCTGAGGGCACCTCAGTAGGAGTTATCTAGATGGAAGTGAAATTTCAATGGAAGAGACTCAGTTCCAAAGAGAAAGTCTGAAATTGACTGTCAGAACTCTCAGCTTACTGTAGTCCCAGAAAGATGTAGAGATGGAGCTGGGTGAAAGCAAAGGCCACTAAAAGGTATGCCACTGTTTTCCATTGTATTTACTTTAAGTGGGGATGAACACATGGATTCTAATGTGTAACCTGTATTCTTGCTATAGTCCAGGAGTAGAGAATTATGACTTTTCCAACTTTTCCTTGTCTTATCTTCTTATCTTACTGAGCTGTGTTTTTCTTGAGTAAACAAACTTGAACTGTTTGTCAGGAAATAGTTGCCTCTTTTTGAATTTCAGTATTTTTTTGGGTATAGTAAAGGTTTTCATTTAATTTTAGTATCTGTAACTTGATAGAAATTTTTTTAGGGTCAGAGATATTTTATATTATTTCCTATTCTGTTACTATACAAAGTTCTAGGATACTTGGTTGTTTGAAATTTTAAAGTATGACCTAAGAAATTACTTTATGCTAAAATGCCTTTATTTCTAGAATTTGATTTAGAAGCTGTTAGTCTCATGGAAAATTAAAATGTAATTACTTCGAGTTCATAATGTTTAGATTACAAAGCTTTGGCTTCCCATTCTTTCACTTTCATCAAAGGCAAAAAGGAAATGCTACTTGTACTTCCACCACATGAAAAGCGGAGTCATTATCTTTCCTTAAATGCTTACATGTCACTTTCATTTCATAGTAGAATATATGTCAATTTCATGTGAATCATTCTGTGGGGAAATCTGTTATCTCCCTGATACTCCTTTGTCTTTTATAAAGTGAGAAAAGGCTTAAAGGAGCTTTGTGACAATTGAAGCTGATAGTTTCTTTCTGTTAAAGGAGAGTTTGAGTCAAGGAGTGAGCTCCTGGTCTTTTCTGATCTCTTGGTTGCCTACTGGTTCACCAGGTGTATTAAGGTCATGAGAGGGAGCAGGAGGGTGAATGAGCGCTGCACCTAACCCTGCACACACCTAGAGAACCGACCCGTTCCTTAGTACTAAGTGCTCATGTACCTGTCCTGGTCTTTTCTGAAACAGGCTTAATTTTCTTTTTTCTTGAAGACAGAGATTGAAGGGTAGTGGTGATTGGGGCTTGATTTTGTTTAGGGGATTTTGTCCATCAACTCACTGGTGAATCCTGTATTTTGACTGTCAGCCCTTTTGTACTAGGATGTTTTCTTAGTGAAACCATCTACCAAAAAGTATGCTGTTTAAGAACTCAAGTTGGAGGAGTCCATGAGAAGTGTGTCTGTTCCCAGGACTGTTGGATTTTGCCCTTTCCCCCTCAGCTCACTTCACACTTTTTTAAATAAACAGTAGATTTGATTCCATAGAAACTGCATCTGTATGTGTATAAGGAATGGGCTTTATTTTAGGCAGTAAATTTTTATTTTCTTGTCATTTGGAAATGAAGATTACTTTTTTCACTGTCACTGTTTTTAGCTTGTATAAAAAGTGAATTTTCCTTGTGTTCTAGAAACTGCTTACATTTTAAATAATGTGCCTTTGCAATTTTTTTTTTTTTAAAGGTAGTATCTTCTCCAGCTGATGTAGCAGACAAAGCTGACAGAATTATTACAATGTTGCCCACCAGTATGAATGCAATAGAAGTTTATTCTGGAGAAAATGGAATTCTGAAGTATGTATTTCTCAATTGTGGATATTTTCTTGTTACGATAGTTCATGAATTTCACATTTGTTAGAACTATTAAGAAATTGCAGTTATGTTTGTTAAACTTTTCTCTACTATTTTCTTCTTAAACTGAATGGTATGGTTTTTCTTTCTTTGTAAAGGGTTTATTTTTTCACTGGAGTCAAGTATGTGACTTTGGGAATTATTTTTGTGTGTGTGTGCCTCTGTTTCTTTCCTTTAACTCCTACGTTAAACTTATGCTTTCATTGGTAAAATGTTTAAGAGACTTTTAAAGCTTGCATTTTAAACTGAATGACTGTTAACAAGCGTAATTTTGTTATGGTTTATAGAAATTCAGTAAAAGGTTTCTATGAAAAATAAAACCAAACATTGGAAAGAACACCATTATTTAACATTTTATTACATAATAAAAAGTTATTGTATGTCCTCTGGGTTAGTACATCTGTAGTAAGAACTTTGAGAAGTTGGAATTAAAGGTTAGCAGTAGCTTTTTAAATAAAATATAATTTAGGGCAGAATTTCCTAGCCTGACTTTGAGAAGCTTTTGGTTAATTGCTGCTTATTGTCAAACCATTGTGGTTATGTTAGCATGACAGTGGTGGAATTCCCAATTTCATTTTCTGGTCTTACTGGTTCCTGTTCCTAACTTGTTTTGTTGTTAAATTTCAACAAAGAGCTAGAATGAACTGTAGGCCTTAGACACATGAGGGGCTAAAACAAAGGGTTTAATTTCACAAAACTGTAATTTATGAAATTTGAAGTTTTTGGAAATTGAATTGTTTTGGAAAACTAACAAACTTGAAAGCAAAAGACATTAGACAGAAAACTGATAAGATAAATGTTTAGATTTCAGGGACAGTTGAAAGACACTCATTTTGGATGGAGCCGGCAGGTCCACAGTGTGTGTGGTCCAGAGATGACCTGAGATGTCTCATTACTTAGCCTATTCTAATTATGGTCCTGCTTTACCACTCAAGGAAAAATTACTTAAAGCTTATGTGGAGACACAAGCGTATGTTTATTAATATCCGTTATTAAGGAATAAGTGACCAGCTATCAGAACAGTTTTGTCTAGAAATTGCTTTGAAACAGTCTGACTTTACGTTGAACTATAATTTGCTTCTCACGTGTTGCTTTTAATTTTCTTCAGGGTCAGGTTCATTTCCCTACACTGAATGCATGTGTAATTTTTGAGACAACTTTCTATTTACCTAAAAGATTCAAGACATAAATATCATAGAAGACTGGTAAATTTAATTCTTACTTTTTCAGGTTATAGAAAGTGAAACTCTGCATACTGAAATAATCTGTAACTAGAGTGTGCTAGTTCTTTTCTGTGAAATATACCCAGTCATTGCAGTCAAATAGGATCAATTTTTATATCTAGAAGTGTTTAAAGCCTTTTGTATACTATCTTTCTCTATAGAAAGATTTTACTTATTTGTAGTTTTTACCAATGATTATTTTCCCCTTTAATAATTATATTTAATTTTAATTTATCAAGTATAAATATGATTACATATTTTCTTGGTTGCTAGTAAGATCTCTGGGAAGTTTGAATGAAAGGTTATTAAGAACTTTGAGAAGTTTGAATTAAAGGTTAGCCATAGCCCTTTAAATAAATGATAATTTAGGTCAGGATATCCTTGCCAGTAAAGATAGACATGGATTATCGATTGTAGGGGAACTAGATAGGTAAGTATTTTACTTTTATACTACAAACAAAAAATTCTTATAAGAATGCCATTTAAATATTGATATAAAGTGATTTATGAAAAGACTGCTTGCTATGTTTACCAGTATATGTATATAAATTTACCATCAAGAATAAAAAAAGTTTATGAGATTTCCAGGTCCATTCCTATATTTTCCTTTCTGTCTGTTTGGTGTTTTACTTTGTTTTTAAAAAGTTATAGTTATAAAAGAACATGTTATCCTAAAGCAAATGGCTAGAGTTCAGTTGTTTATATTCATTTTACCTGGTGGAAATAACATGGATATGTGAAATTTGCAATGTGACTGTTAAAGACAAATAAATTACTTTTTAAAGGGCCCAGAAACAAAAATTTAAATCCTACCAAGTAAATCTTTTAAAGTTAATAGGTGTTTGAAATTGCTTACATCTTAGCTTACTTATATTTTTATGGTATAGTGTGTACTTCACCTAAAACCAGGATTTATACCATGTAGTTTATTAGATTATTTTGATGACTTTGAAAGAATTTGGATTTACTTTGAAATACAATTGTTCTGAAAATTAATTTGATTTTGAACCTGTTCTAATAATGTTTTTAATACTAAACCAAAGACGTCCTGATCTCTGGCAGCTTTTAATGGATTCTGACCCTATAATTGTATGAGCTGTTCATCCAAAGTTGTAAACTATATTTTAAAAACTATAAAACTATATTTTTAAAACCATAATTTTTTTATTTATTTAGAAAAGTGAAGAAAGGCTCACTATTAATAGATTCCAGTACTATTGATCCTGCAGTTTCTAAAGAATTGTCCAAAGAAGTTGAAAAAATGGGAGCAGTTTTTATGGATGCCCCTGTTTCTGGTGGTGAGTGGTAGCTAAAATATATTCATAACTATTTCTATTTGTCAAAAGTAGCAATGATGATTTTTGTGGTACTCAAGATGTATCTAGTTTTTTAAAAAGGCTTATTAAAGATCTTCAGTTCTTTCATTAAAAACAAAAATAAGACTTTTTTATGTTACTTAGTACTTTCAAGGTACATTGCTTCTTCTAAATTCAGATAAAAGGATGTCACAACTTTGAAGAGTTGTGAATTTTTGATCCAAATTGTGTCTAGGGATAGATCAATTCCTATAAGATTAAACTTCAGAACAGATTCAAGAAATAATTCACTTGAATAATCTCATTATTGTTATAGAAATCAAAGAAGTGGTAAAAAGGAAAAAGTACTTCACAGGGGTGACATTAGGCCAGATGATTTTTACAGGTAAATATTACCAAAATTTCAGGGCGCACATTATCTCATCAATTGTATATGAAATTTTCTAGACAAATAGGCAAAAAAGACATGATCCCCAATTCATTCTGTAAGACCTGTATAATCCTGATATACCAGACAGAATCATTAGGAGAAAGAAAAAATTATAGGTCTAAATTAGCTGTGAATATGCAATAGAAGTAAAAACTTGTTTACTCTCACCTATACATAGGTAACTTAATACAAGATAATCTGTAAATATATTTTACCACGTTAACATACTTAATAATCATATGGTTATCTTGAAAAGAGAAAAAGGAGACATGCTAATAAAGTTCTAATAGCATGGGTCTCTGGGTATTTTGGAATGGTAGGATTATATATTTTTTGTAATTCTAAATTTTCCAAAATAACTGTGTGATCAAATACCTTATCTGTCTGTCTGTATCTATCTATAGCTAACTAATTATAGAGGTAGACAATGGAGTAACAATTTTACTACAGTTTTATTAAACTTGATTGTGGACTTTGGAATTGAATAGCAAAATATAATAATTTAAGTCAGTTTCTGTTTTTTCTTAAAGAACTTAATGGTCTTTTTGTAAAGGTCTCTTATATCCCAAACCCTTTTTGAATGTAGGTGGAAGTGTAAATAATTGTTAGCCCTTCTAATTCTTATATTGAATTGGTTAAGTAGGATTTAGGTGTAAAGATTTACAATGTGGTATAGGCACTTTGATCATAAAGTACTAATAAGCAGTTTTAAACTTGGTGTTGGTGTGGTTTTTTTATAGAATAGAATTAATAAACTAAACATGTTCTTCGAGTGGGTCTATAGTTGAATTTGAAAATTGATATGGTACATGTGATCTTATGTTGGTTGACCTTGTTTTGCTCTAAGATTGTAGTCTAAAATTAGCACTTGACAATGAATACCAATTTTATTTTTAATGTTGTTTTGACTGAAATTCCTTTTGTTCTTACTATTTTTAAACCCCGTTTTGTAGTTTAAGGTGCTTAAAATGCTAATATTATAACAATACATCTGAAACTGAACTATATTATAAACTGAAACTTTGTGTAGACTTGGTTTATGATGATATGTTGGTTGACCTGATCATGATCACCATGACATCATCATGGTCTTTATGAGATTGACCAGTCTATTAATAGAAGCATGTATTTGTCTTCTCATAATTATTATTTTTTTCTGTTATTAATATGGTGGGCTAAAAATGGCTCCATTTTTTTTTTCCAGTTAAAATAAAGTAGAAGAAATTTCCTGTAAGATAAATAGGCTGGTTAAAACATCATTAACTGGGATGATTACAGTGTGGAAAATGACTTTGCAATCAGTTTCCAGCTGAACTGGAGAAACATGGTTATAAGATGGAGACTACATAGCATCCAGAAGAGTTGTTGAAACAACCTAAACTTGAACTGTTTGCTAAATTCTAGAACAGAGACAGAGGACAATGTTCCCAGGATGGAATACTTAAAAAAATACATTTATTTCATTCCTGCTTAGATTAATTTTTGTTTTTGTAACATAAAAAATGTTTTCATCTAAAATAATCATTATTTTTTTTTTAAATTTTTTTTTAATTTTTTTTTTAAGATTTATTTATTTATTTATTTATTTATTTATACAAGCACTGGGTATAGTCAGAAGCGCGGGAGGGTGAGAGAATTCACCAGAGTCAGAGCAGGATGCAGAACAGGCAGGAGGACCGAAGTACACTGCTGAGGGGAGCAGCGGGCGGCAGGAGAGGTCTAGTGTGCCATGTGGGACCCTCCTTTGGTGGCCGGGAAGCAGCCTGGGATCGAACTGGCGCCGCAGAGGCTGCGGGCAGCCTCGCAACCCAGCGCTCAACCGCTGCGCCACCGGGGAGGCCCTAATCATTATATTTTAAGTATTAAAACTTAAAGATTTAAAAATTAAAGAAAAGGAACCTGGGAAAAGAATGGCTTAGATACCCAAGGTGGGCCCTCAGTTTTATAGAGGTGTTCTATAATCATCAATCTTGAAACGTAAAATATTTGAGATAATTTGAATAAAATCTTAAAAAAAAAAAAGTTTCCCCCATTTTCCTTTTCTCCTCATCCCTCATCTGTTCCTTATCCCAGACTTGAAAAATGTATTCACTTGTGTTCATGTAGAGATACATACAATTACAGTAGTATTCTAAAAATATAAATGGGAACATATTATACTTACTGTGTAGTTTGTATTCTTAACCCAGGTAAATAAAAACGTTGTACAGATTTTTGAGCAAGTGATTGGTTTCTTCAGTCTAGCATTTTCCTCTACTTCATGCTAACTATTATTCTGTGGAATAATAATGAAAAACATCATTATTGTATCACTCTACCAACTCAGGGAATAGCAGATTGAAGGTTTTCTCCAGGTTTCATTTTGATATTTACTAGATCCAGCCTAGAGCAGCTCTTTATGATATCCTTATGACAATTGATACCATTTTAAGGTCCTGTGTGGCTTTTTAACATATCAACAACAAATGTTGCTCACTCACCTGTTGTTGTTATTATCCTGAAACAATGTGAGTAACTATTTTATACTTACATGGCTATCACTTTATATCATATGTATTACTATATAGAGTACTTTGGCATTCTTCAGTGGATATGATGCTTCTTTCCAAAACTGTCAAACTGAACATGCTTTTAACAATCCCACATTACATTATACTTACAGGCACTACTAATTCTCTTCTTCCTGTAGGCTTCCGACTTTTTAAGCACAGAGAGTAGGTCTTTTTTTTTCTCTTCATTTTTTTTTTTACTAAATATTGAATATATGGAAAATAAAAAATATATAGAAGTAGGAAGTATAAGTATACATTGAGCCCATGTGTACCCCTCTCCCAGTTAAATAGAGCCTTACTGTTATCTTTCATGTTCTTGTGTGTGTCTCCCAGTCCTATTTTATTTTCTCCCCTATTAAAGGGAACCAGTATCCTACATTTTGTATCTCACTAACATGCTTTCTTTCATAGTTAAATCCTATATAAATTTTTATCTTTAACCAGTAGTTTATGTTCCATGCTATGTAATATTATAGAAGTGAAGTAGTAGCGTATTTTGTGATTTTACCACCATGTGAGATTTTCCACTTCATGTTATATTCCCAAATTTCATCCATGGTGTGTGTAGAGCCACAGGCTAACACAGTACCTTTAGGAGAATTTGAAAGAGACACTTCATTTCCTCTGCACTGAAACTTCCCTCAGATGAGAAGAAGGAACATTTACACAAAGGAGAAGGTACTCCTTTCTCCGGACATAAGTAGCCCAGCCTCAGGGTTTGTGGCTTGGCAAATTTGGTTGATGGCTGTGCACAGTTCATAAACAGTATTACCATCACATGGTTGTTACATGTAGTTCATTAATTTTAAGTTCTCTGTGGCGTTCATCTATATAAACAGAACATGCTTTATTTGTCTTTTTATTCCCTATAGTACATTTTGATCATTTCCAGTTTTTTTTATTTGGTTATCTTCCCGTTTTGTTTTTTTCAAAATTTATTTATGCATACAAGAACTGGGGTGTAGGCCAAAAGTGTGGGGTTGGGGTGGCGGTGACAGAATTCACCAGAGACAGAGTAGGGAGCAGAACAGGCAAATCTACTGAAATACACTGCTGAGGGGAGCAGCAGGCGAGACAGGAGAGGTCTGCTGCACCATGTGTGTTAGCTCCCTGGCCTGGGATCAAACTCATGCTGCAGTGGCTGGTGATGGTTTGCACTGAGACTTTAACCCCTGTGCCACCAGGGAGGCCCCCATTTCCAGTTTTTTAAATACTGCATTCATAGGCATCATGGAATTGTAACTTTTTAATTAAAGATTTATTTTTATTTAGGTGTGGGGGTGAGACCACGTGGACTAGCTCCCTGGCTGGGTGTGGAACCAATGCGCAGTGGCTGGTGATAGGCTTGATAGTGCTGAGACTTTAACCCCTGCGCTGCCAGGGAGGCCCCATGGAAGTGTAACTTTTTAGTCTCTTTTTTCTTAGCACAATGCCTGGAACGTAATTGATTTTTTTTTTTTAAGATTTATTTATTTATGCATACAAGAGCTGGGGTACAGGCCAGAGATGTGGTGGGTGAGAGGATTCACCAGAGACAGAGTGGGGAACAGAACAGGCAGATTGACCAAAGTACACTGCGGAGAGGAGCAGCGGTTGAGTCAGAAGAGGTATGCTGTGCCCTGTGGGTTGCTCCCTGGCTGGCCAGGGATCAAACTCATGCTGCAGTGGCTGTGAACAGCTTCATAAGTTGCGTCTTAACCCCTTGCACCACCAGGGAGGCCCCTAGAAGGTAATTGATTTTTCAATAAATATTTAAAAAGCTGGATTGTGTTCAGGTAGAGAAACATGTGAGATAAATAGGACAAGTAGTAGCATTCCCATTTTACCAAGGATGGAAATAACATCCAGTGATACTAAGTAACTTATCTCAATATCATACTGTTGGCTAGTTGACAAAATCGAAGATTAGTGTGATATTCTTTTTTTAAAAAAATATTTATTTATTTATTTATACAAGCACTGGTTACAGTCAGAAGCGGGAGGGTGAGAGAATTCACCAG